CACAATTTCCGTAGTCGTATTACTTGCCATAGTTTCTTAGATTGTAGGAAAATAACACGAGAAAATAACAATAATACTGCAGTAATATTATTTGTGAGCGAAAATACACGAATTGGATTGAGTCGTGTTGGGCGCTGTCCTAAGAAACTATTTCAGCAATGTGAAATGTTTCCCCAGGATTAAACAAGCATGACTCTATTTATTTAGAGGATACAGGAATCAGCAAAATTAAATAACACCAGCAAGTTTGGAATAAAACGGAGGGAAGAAATAATAACAAGAGATAATGATTTGGTCAATAATGGAAAGAATAATTGTAGTAATAATTAGCTAAAGAAGAAAGCAATGATTAGCTAAGAAAAGTGTAAAAAGACCAATTTTTGTTAATGTCTCTTACGGATGAACAAAAAGGCTATTTATAGAGATGTTAGGAGTCTTCTTAAATTGCTAAGTATTTAATTGCATGAAAGATGATTGCCACTTATTTTTGGCTAAACCATTTGGCCACAAATCTTAATGCAAAATACCACATGGTAGATTTGCATATCAACTTGGAAATAGATAGGACACTTGTAAAATAAAAAGACACATTGATATTTAAAATTTTGAAAATTCTGCCACACTTCCTTCTCTTTTCGTAGCTTCCGCTTCTTTCGTTAATCTTTCAATTTTAGTTATCGATCTTGTGCTAGCATAATATCTCCAAATTATACTTTTTCTGTTATTCTTTACATGGTATCAGAGCCACAGGTTGGCATTTGGATTTTAAGATTGGGTTAGTGGTTTATTCAACTAGTCTCTCTAAATGGATTGGAGTGGTTGTGCTAATGGACTGATAATGAAATTATTAAACCAGTCCAATTACAAGATATGGTGTCACGGCCGAATTTCCCACCATCGGGATCGTGATGGCGCCTAACATTACACTTGCTAGGCAAGCCAACGTTAGAACAATCTACTCTTTTTAACAGTTTAAATTAGATATTAAAGAAGAATTGAGATAATCGAATAAATTTAAAGTAATAATGCGGAAGCTGAACTAGTCAAATATCTATTACAATTCCCTGAATCTGGTGTCACGAGTGCACGAACTACTAGAGTAATACACATAAGGGTCTGAAATAAATAACAAGATGTTCGAATGAAAGTACACAGCTAAAAAGACAGAGGATGGGGACTCTAGGAGCTGCGGACGCCGAACAGCCGTACCTCAAGTCTCCGCGAATGTATGATCTGAGCTCGCTAATAACCGCTGCTGGGACCGTCTCCAAAATCTGCACAATGTGCAGAGTGCAGTATCAGCACAACCGATCTCATGTACTGGTAAGTGTCGAGCCTAACCTCGACGAAGTAGTGACCAGGCTAAGGCGGGTCATTTATGCTAAAACCTGTACGTAGTATATAATAATGACAGAATAATTGAAATATAGCACAGAATAAACAACCAGCAGAAAATGATAACCACAGCATCGAAAATAAACCAGTGTCGTCCATAATTACCAATCTTACCGGTTCAAACAAAGTATCGTAAAAACAACACATCCCAAGAAATAGAAACATATAGGTTGTTGCGGCACANAATTAATATATATATATATATATATTGCGGCGCGCAACCCGATCCCACCATATATCAATATCAATATCGTAATTTTACCTTTATTTCACCATATCAATCCACCCTTATTACACCTGTTGCGCCATGCAACCCGATCCCACCGTATGTGTGTGTGTGTGTGTGTGTGTGTGTGTGTGTGTGTGTGTGTGTGTATATATATATTCACCTTTATTCCACCATATATATTCACCCTTATTCCACCATATCAATCCTCCCTTATTACACCTGCTGCAGCGTGCAGCCCGATCCCACCATATCAGAACCAAACACTCAATGTACAAAATCAACAGACTAAATCACAAGGCCTTTACGATAAATAATTTCCAAATTGAACCAAAAAAAGGAAACCTCAATCAATGTAGAATCTTCACGAATAATACTACACACGGAGACCAATCCAGAAAATATGCCTTGAAAGTACCAGCAGCAACTTAAGAAATAATAGGAGACAACGAAACTATGAAAGAACTAATACTTTCACCAAAGAGAAACAATGTCTAACAAGTAGCAATTAGGCATAGAAATGCAAGTAAAACATGTATCAGTTAAGACAGGAAAAGACAATATAAGAAGAACGGGAAGAAAAACAGGCAAAACAGATAAATTGGCGGTGCATAGGTACTCGTCACTTCACCTATACGCCACTCATATGGATTTCACATAGCAAATAAGTCAAGAGTTCCAATCCCTCGAGTCAAAGTTAGACACGACACTTACCTCGCTTTGCGGGCCACTCAATGCTCAATTACTGATTTTCCTCTAGTATCTACCTCCAAACCACTCGTATCTATCCACAATTAACTCAATAACATCAATTATTGCTAAAGGAATCAACTATAATGCATAAATTTAGATTTTCCAAACTTTCCTCCAAAAAATCAAAAACCGACCCCGGGCCTGCTTGGTCAAAACCCGAGGTTCGGACCAAAATTTATTTACCCATTCATCCCCGAGCCTGGATATATAATTGGTTTTAGAATCCGACCCCAATTCAAGGTCTAAACCCCCAATTTCTCAAATCTCTTGTTTCTACCCAAAAACCCCAAATTCTACCATGGAAATCTTAGAGTTTAGGTTGGAAATTCATGAAATGTGATGGAAAATTGAAAGAAAGTGGGTTAGGATCACTTACCAAAATTTTGGGGAAGAATTGGTCTTGGAAGAATCGCCTCTAAGGTTCTAGGATTTGAAATTTTGAAGAATGAATGAAAATCTCGTCTAAGTCCCATTTACCCAGTTGTAGGTGTCGCAAATGCGACTTGGGCTTCGCAAATACAAAGCCCGTAAATGCGAAGGAGGCATTGCAAATGCGAACCTCTTCTCACGTCTGCATTGTTCGCAAATGCGAGAAATAGTTCGCAAATGCGAACCTGGGCAAGACGGCATTTGCGACCATGTGATCGCAAATGCGAAGAACACCCCTCCCCAGCTCCCATCGCAATTGCGAGGAATTGTTCGCAATTGCGAACATTGGCCTCCATAGCTACTCTTAGCAAATACGATAAGTAGGTCGCAAATGCGAACCCAACAGTGGTTGCAAATGCGAGGCTTGATCTCGCAATTGCGAGATCAGAGGCTCTGCAACAGAACTGAAGCACACCAACAAAATTTCTAAGTTCAAAACACTCCATAGCCTTTTCGAAACTCACCCGAGCTCTCGGAGCTCCAAAACAAATATGCACACAAGTTTTAAAACATCGTACAAACTTGCTCGTGCGATCAAATCGCCAAAATAATACTTAAAACCACGAATTTAGTACCAAATCAAATGAAATTCTCAAGAACACTTTGAAATTCCTATTTTTACAACTGGACATCCGAATCACGTCAACCAACTCCGTTTCTCACCAAATTTTACAGACAATTCTTAAATATCATAGTGAACCTTTGCCGTGCTTCGAAACCAAAATACGGACCCGATATCAAGGATATCAAATATTAACCAAATTCTTAAAACCATTTAATTTTCAGACTTTCAATTTTCATCAAGAATTCATTTCTCGAGTCAGGGACCTCAGAATTCGATTCCGGGCATACGCCGAGGTCCCATATTTCGATACGAACCCATCGAGACTATTAAAACAGGAGTCCGGGTCCATTTGCTCAAAATATTGACCAAAGTCAACTAAATCAACTTTTAAAGGCAAAAATTATTATTTTCATAAACTTTCAACATAAAAGCTTTTCGGAATCACACCCGGACTACGCATGCAAATCGAGGAGGGTGAAAAAGGAGATTTGAAGGCTTAAGAGCGCAAAATTAAGTTCTAAAACATAAGATGACATTTTGGGTCATCACATATAGTTGTGCTATTGTTCGAATGCTTTTGTCGGTCTGAAGCGAACAATACATTAAATGGTTGTGTACTAAAATTAGCTTATTGCATACATGGAATGATCATAGTAGCATGACAATGTACAGTTGCGATTGTTCAAACTGAGGAGTAGGGATGGCAAGTGGTGCAGGGCGGTGTGATTGCGGGGCGAACCCATATAAACCCGCGAAGATTTTAACCCGCCCGCCTCGTGTAGCATTTTCACCTGCGTTCACCCGCCCCACACACACCCGCGTCCACCCGCTCCGCCCCGCCCAGCCACGCATAAATTTTTTATTTTATTTTGTTTGCTTATTTCTATTTCATATTTTGGCTGAAATTTTTAACTTAATCAACCAAAAATTTAAAAGTTCTTTTGTTGCTTATGTACTAATTCTTCAATTAAAAAAAAAAGAATTTGTTTCTCATTGTGAAAAGTATATGATCCCTTATGTATTAATTTAGTATTCATTATAAAATAGTATTTACATTCCTATAATATTATTTCTAATATTCCTTGATGACTTGTGTATAACCCAATAATAAAACTAATTTGTTTGAGTCAGCTAATTTTTTGACTCTGAAAGAAGTTCAACAGAAAAGTAAAAAAAAAGTCTGCTTTGATTAAAAAAAATATTAAGCACGGAGTATCATATTTGTCTTTCCGAAACAAAAGTGCATAAAAGACTTTGAAGTTATCATCGAACTTAAAAAGAATAAGAAAGAAAACTTACTTAAACCTGCATGACCTGCAACCCGCCCGCACCCGCATAACTGTAAACCCGCCCCGCCCCGTATAGCCTTAAACCCGCACCGCACCACCCGCCCCATTTGCCATCCCGAGATCAATTTGCTTCTGCTATTGATTCTAATTCTAAAACAAGTTAGCCTGTCCTCGTCTGAACTTTTATAAAAACACGATCTCGTTAAGTCATGTCACTAAGTTAAATTAAAAATATTAAAATTAAAAATAATTTTCCAAAAGAGAAATTTGTTATTTCTTTTCGAACATACTAAAAAGAAAAGTGTCAAATAAAATGAGGATACAAAGAGTCCTAGTATTGAAAAGTACTTCTGCAATCAAAAATCAAAATCACATTAAAATTATTGATTATTACATGCCACCAAGCCACCACCAAAAATCTTTCCCCCGATGTTTCTTTTTCTTCAAAGAAAATAAAAATAAATAATGAGTTAGATTGACCTATGATTTACATTAGACTTGAAATTCCATTACAAATTCATGACTCGTATAACCCCTTCAAGGAGAAAGTCGTCATTGACAGAAATTTCTCCATTCACAAGGCTCAAATCCGATATTGTTGATTAAAGATGACGGGATTTCATTCATACTATCACATTCATTCACAAGGCTCAAATCCGATATTGTTGATTAAAGATGACGGGATTAATTTCATTCATACTATCACATTCATTCACAAGGCTCAAATCCGATATTGTTGATTAAAGATGACGGGATTAATTTCATTCATACTATCACATCCCTTTGTGAAAGTTTCATTACTACTACTACTACTCTGATCACTTGAACTCAAAAGATGTTCCAAGTAATCAACACCCAAATCTTCAAACATTATTGCATTAACATTCTCTTTTTTTACTTCCTTTACTTTATTATTTTTCTTCTTCCTCATAGAGTGTCTCCTTTTTAAAGCCAACACAGGTGAACAACCTTCTTCTACATAACACTTCATTCCATTAAGAGATTCCACAACTCTTTCCACTGGAAAATTCAAAATTGCCCCCGAACCTCGCGTCGAAAAAGCAGCTTGATCATAAGCCAAAGCAGCAGCTTCTGCACTATCAAATGTCCCTAACCATACCCTAATTCCATTTCTTGTTGAATCTCTTATTTCCGCTGCGAATTTGCCCCATGGCCGCCGCCTAACACCTCTATATGTCCTTTCCTTTGAGGGTTTTGGCTCAGAAACCGAGCTAACTTCCTCATAGTTACTGGAATCATGTGAACCCATAGCTAACACAGCAGAACCGTCCCTAGAGGTGGTTTCTTGAGCAAGTAAGCCATAGAGAAGCATCTCGTCGGAGTCGTTTACGTTGAAAGGAAGGGAAGAAGTGTAGTTGAAATTCAGATGGTAGAGCAAATTAAGAGAAGAAGAATCCATTGTTTCTATTTTTTCAAAAATGTTAGTTGGATTCAAAGAAAGAAGTGAGTACTCCGTTTTTAGTAGTAGTCCGTTACGTGGAGAAAGTTGTTGAAGATTGGTCCTCTTTTATAGTTCTAATCAAGACTTGCCCACTATGAAAATCTAGATACAATATTAAATTTTATATATTTGGTGTGACAGTAATATTATTAGAAAGTTAAAAAGAAAATAAAATACTACCTCCCTTTAAATTTAGTTGAACATATTTGACTAGGAACACATAGAGTTTTCTAAAAAAGGACTTTTGATGTTTGTGGTGTTAAGTATATAATAATATTTATGAAAGTCTAGAAATTTATAATTAAGAATAACATGAGAAGTTTATGTTAAATTATATAAATCAAAAATAAATTATTCCTTTTAAAAAATAGTGAATATAAAAGAATAAGATCACATAAACAAGAGTGGGGGTAAGAGTACAAATAAATAAGAAAGAGAGAAAAACATTACTAAGAAAAACTATTTGAGGGTGAAAAGGACAGAAGGAAAAAGAAGTGACTAAGGAGGATGTTTTGGGTTTATTTTATTGCTTTAATATAATTAATTTAGAGATAATTAGACAAGTGTGCCAATAGCACACGTGGGTCAATCAAGGCCGCCAGATCAAACAAGTCTTGAAGGACTTCAGCAACCAAGAAGTTCTATTGACCTTTCTTATTGTTCTTGTAAATTTTAACTACCACACTAACGGATGTGGTGCAGTGGATGAGACTGCTCCTCCCTTAATCAGAGGTTTCGAGTTCGAACCCTAGGTATGGAAAAATCCTTGATAGGGAGCACTTCCCCCCGAATGGAGCCCTACGCGATGCGAATCCGGATATAGTCGGGTTCCAATGTGGATACCGAACACCGCTTGGGAAACCAAAAAAAAAAATTAACTTTTAGAGACGGCAATAAATTTTTTTGTTTTAAAATTGCATCCAAAAAGTCATATTTGTTAATGAAAGAATTACAAGAAAATACACATGACTTCACACCATAACAAAAAATTCCTCATGTTTTTAGGTTTTACCCGATCTAGCCTATATTGTACATATTTGAAAATAGTAGCTCTTGCAAATTCAAAATTTGTGTTCTTACAACCATTGTTTTTAAAAGCTATGGAGTTAAATTTGTGTTCTCACAACCATTGTTTTCCCTCTCTCTTCTTCTTACATCTTTTACGTATGCTTCAAGAGGTCATCCCATTACTGCCTATGTCATCTGGTTGCAATGTAAAAAAATTGAAGAGTAGAAATTCACCATTGAAGGTCATTAAAACCTTTGCTTTCGAAAATAGAATTTTTTGGAGTTTGTTAGTTGTTGGATTGGATTGTTCCAATTGATTGAAAATATCAAAAAGAGTTCGAAATTTAAATTTAAAGTGATTTGGAGTAGATTTAAGTAAGATTTGGGTTAAATTTTAGAGACGACGCAAGAAAGAAGACGAAGACAGATTTTTGTATAATTATATATAATCTTGTATAATAATGTATATGAGTGTATAAACATATCTTATACTCTATTATATACCTTTATACAAGCGTCTGTAGACGAACTTCTTCCAAGATTTTCAATTGCAATTCTTGTTCAAAACCAGTCCAAATCTCCATTAGATGACTTCAAATTTTATATACAACCTCCTTATACTATTTTTAATAAGTCTAAATAACATCCACTCCAAATTTCTCACAAAATCAAATTCGAAATTTAAATCCACATATTTAAGCTTGTTAAAACTCTAATTTTCACCACCCAAATAGATTTGGTTTGTTGAACTAATATTTGAGTCATAGTTACTGATTCGAAAATTAACTTAAAAGCTTGAGCATCTATTTTAAAAATTAAATTGTAATTTTGAGAGCCTATTGGAGTTGGATGTTGAATCTTAACCTATTATTTTTTGGCTAGTTGATTGTAAATTAAAATATAAGCTATAAAATTGAAAAGTAAGGAGCCCAATTGTTCTTATGTGAAAATTTTCCTTTTTACTAGCATAGTTAATACTTCTAGTAATAGTATCTTGTACATTATTATACAGCATTCTTACACCTATATAAGCAATGTATCTATATTGTATAAAAGTATATGAAAATATATTAACCTTATATAACAATGTATAAAAGTATTACGTCACTAGCTATATAGACAAATTTCTTCTTTGATTTTCAATTGCAACTCTAGTTTAAAACCAGTCCAAATATCTACTAAATGACTTTAAATGTTGGAAGACAAAATAGGGTATAATTGAAGAGAAAACAAAAGTTATATAGGTGATGTCAATTAGTTGAAAATTTATTAATTATTCATATTGTTAATACGTTTAGAAATAATATAGATAATACCAATTAGTTGAAAATTTATTTAGTCATTTTGTTAATAGCCTTATATTATATTCTATATTTATAGGAGTCTTTTAGCCCTATTAGAGATTCTTATGCCATTAGAGAACATAAAGAACTTCTAGTGTTTTTTCTTTTTATTTGTATTTTATAAAATATTGGCTTGAAATGAAATTAAATGGAAAAAACGATAAAGGAAAATTCATATAGCCGATCCTAATGTTTATAATTAAGGAATGTTTTTTTTTTGGGTATAATTATCTGGAAATCGAGATTCACCGGTCTAGCTAATCCAAGTTGCGTAACACCCGTTCAAGAAGGAATCACTCTCTACTAGGAGTTTCTTCATTTTCAAGACTCGAATTTAAAAATTTTTATTAAGGCAAAAGGGATCTCATTCATCCCGTCACACCCTTTGGTGGTCAATTTGAAATGTTCCCGAAACATAAGCCACCACATTATATTGTTTGAAATTTTGGAGTTTAAGAAACTAATTATTAATTGCATATTGATATTTTAATAGAGGCAAGAATCTGGTGATAGGATGAATCATCAATTTCCAGTTGCGTGTTTTATCTCAATTTGATTTTTGATACAATTTCTAGTCTTAAGGATTTGAACCACTTTAAGAGATTCATGTGAACCAATTTAAAGGTAATCATAATTGCTACTACTTCACGTTACATTTTCTTGCATTTTGTATTTGTTATGTATATCTTGTGTGGTAATTTTTATATTATTTCCAGGAGTTCATTAACCTTAAAAAGGTCATTTGTCATGAGAAGAATGGATATTTAACATTTAAGTGTCCAAATTCATGTCCCTTTTGAAAATCAAGAAAGAAGTCATAAGAAATTTAGATACCTTTTGATGTTTGAAAATCTTAGTGAAATAATCAATACTGCAATTAGGGGTGTACAAAGGAAACCGACAAACTATATCAACCCGATAATCCGAGTCAAATCGGAAAAAAAAACTGACTATAATTTGGTGTTGGAAAAAAAACCCGACCATAATTGGTTTGGTTTGGTTTTAACTAAAGAAAGTCAAACCGAAACCAAACCAACCTGACATTACATATATAGAAATTTTAGATATATTTAATATATAAATATATTTATTGTGATGTAATTTATAAATATTTCTTAAACTTTTTTATAATTTTATCTTTTATTGTATTATTTCAAGGTGGGACTTAAAACTTTTGAATGTTGCAATAAGTTTTATAGCCATTAATATTAGTAACTTAAATAATGCTAACAAAAGCCCAAACCAGAATCAAATCAATACTAATGCTAACAAAAGACATTGAATTCAATATTACGAACAGCAATGTATTGAATATCTATTTTTTGTTTTGCAATAATTTAAATAAAAAACATAACCTATTTTTATTTTTTTCTTTAGCGTTTAGTCATGTAATTAATACTCCCTTTATTAGTCTACTTATTTTAGCATGACTTAGTACTTTTAAATTATTATTACATAATTTTATTGTCTTTATTAGTGAATACTTTAGGATAATGACATGACACATCTCATATTTTACATTAGTTTTTTGGAAAATACCTTGTATAGTTGTATCTTAGTAGGATTAAAGAAATATTTTGAACACAAATTATATGTTTTGTTCTACGAAGATTTTACCGGAAAAAAACCCCTGAAAAAACCTGAATAACCCGAAAACCCGAGATTGAAAACCCGAGTTTTATTGGTTTGGTTTGGTCTTTAGATTTAATAACCCAACACAATTGGTTTGGTTTGGTAATTGCAAAATTCGAACCAACCCGACCTATGTACACCCCTAACTGCACGGAAGAAGAAAAAAAATACTGCACCTGGGGGCGTATCCAGTTCTTTGATACCGAGTTCATCTAAACCCGGTACTTTTGACATGAAACATAAATTTATGTATAAATAGTTGATATGAACCTATTACTTTAAAAATATAATGAGTTCAATACTAAAAATCTTAAAGGTTGAACCCATAAAATATAAATCATGGATTTGCTTCTGACGGTACCTCGATGTTGACCTCACCTTCAAGGGTGAGTCTCCACGTGGCTACATTCAGTATTAATTCCTCCATTTTAGTTCCAGTCTTTGTTGCCCCTCGGAAGATTAAGTCTACTTAGCGGATTGGTAAGATGCGAAGATTTATTGATTAATAATATGAATTTCGAGAGTGATGATTGATCGTCGCCTCCTTGAGGATTTTCAGCCGGGGAAGGCCTTGCTATCGAAAAAATATCTCGTAATGTATTTAACTAGAAAATAGTTTATGCTCATGCAAAAGTATCTATACTTGGTTAGAGTTGTCTCTTAATATAGCGCGTATTCTTTTACAGAAAACCATGCTTTAAAAACCATGCTCGAAAGTATCTATGCTCATGCGAAAGTATCTCGTAATATAACTAACTTACTCTCATAGGTTAAAAACCATTAAAAATCTTTTAGAGAAAATCCGCATTTTTTTAAAAATAACTTATCATAGCCGAATTAGTCGGGTCTATCATAAACAACTTCTCTATCTTCACAAGACAAGAGTAAAATCTACATAAACATTACCCTTTCTAGATTCTACTAGTAAAATTCCATTAAGTATATTGTTGTTGCCGTCGTCATCGTGGTGGTGATAGACGAACCCCACCTAATTATTCAATATCCACGAGATGGTCAGAAAACAAACAAAT